TGTGTGTGTGTGTGTGTGTGTGTGTGTGTGTGTGTGTGTGTGTGTGTATGTGAATGAGTTAAGGCTTGAAACCAGTGTCTGGAATATTTTCCCCTGCTCTGGGGGCCCAGGTACTCAAAGTCAAGGTCAATGCCATCAAACTCATCCAGCCAGATGTATGTGATCACTGAGTCAATGAATACCTTACAGTTGCCAGTCTTGGCCACCGTGGAGGTGAACCTGGGGAAGGCATGATCTTGAGTGGCACTCAGATGCCATCACCTGTTCCCTTTCCTTCTTTCACTCATATGGATTTGATCTAGTCCAAGCTCCAAGAAATATCAGAGGAATCATCACCAGCCCATGCAGCCCTGTCCTGAGCAATCCATCTTCATCTCCAGCATCTGCTCCTGGTAGTCTGATATCATAAAAATCCTCCTATAGTAGCGATAGATGAAGGGATACCAAAAAAAAAAAAATCCTCCTATAGAGCCTATAAGGCAGTCAATATAGCTAACCTGGCCTTTTGGTGTTTGCAGATGAACAATCCCTTAGTTACTTTAGGGTCTGCTTGAAGCCACTTACCAGTCACACTCCATGTCCTCTCATTAACTCCCAAATCCCTTCAGCAAGGGCATCATAATACAGCAGTAGGGAAAGAAAAATGACATCTCCCTTCACAAAATATTCATTATCACTCTTCCCTCCCTCTTTCTCTTTTCCTCTCTTTAGGATATGGTTTTACAGCTACTCGATTGCTCAGAGTTCACCCAAACACTCATTTTATACACTCGCACTTCTATTCCTTTGCTCGAGGAGTTCCATTCTCTTGCAATGTCCTTCCCATTCTTCTCTGACAAATTTCTACTTATTATTCACTGCCTTTTTCAAATGTTACCTACCGTTAAATCCTTCACCCAAGCAGAATTTACCATTGCTTTCTCATCATTTTCTGACGACATTTTACGTATTCCATCATGGCACTCCATTGCAGTTTTCAGCTGGGTGTATACATGTTTGTTTCTCCACTAGACAAAAACTTCCTAGGACTCTTTCATTCACATTTTCTCTCCTATAGTGTCTTGAAAGGCTCTGACTCTATGCTAATTAACAGATATCTAATATCCTTGGGTTATCCCAACAATATTTAATATCCTTCATGCATTCCCCAGGCTGGCAATATCCCCCTATTTATCTTCTTTGCTCTAGTTGACATAGTAGGAGACATTGTATTAAGATATCTTCTCTTATAGCTCCTTCTTCCTTGGATATCTTGCATCTATCTTATCCTTAGTACCTATCATGGTACTAAGCACATAATAACGGACTCAGTAAATACTTATTGAAATAAATGGAAGCACTTCAAATAAACTTATCCTATACTATATGTATGTCATATGCAGATTCCTTCCACAGCATAACCCTTCATGCTGGTTCTCTTTCTCTAGTTCTCTGCCTTTCTTCATCCTATTATCCTATATCTGGATAAACTCTATTTATCCAAAGGCACCCCTGAGACTCTAGAAGTTATCCTCACCACCACCACATCACCACACAAAATTATCAATTGCTTCACCAATTTGAAAACAGAAAAAAATGAGGATCTTCCAAACTGGGTTGACTCCTCTCATCCTGATGTCAGTAGGAAGGTAATTCACTTAGAAAGTTCTTTAACTGAGGCTAATTTCAATCAGTCTCTGAGATTACTTTCCTGTTAATTCCCTCTGGAAATTCTGGACTTTCCCTTGCTCACTGCCTTCAGCTAAGTAGCTTCAAAGGGACACGTGATGGAGCACTACAGGGCCTTCCAATTTACAGGTGTGAACTTAAAAAATAAAACAGCCAGTTACTTTTCAAGCAAAATGGGTTTATTCAGGAACAGCAAAGAATTACAATTTTGGATATGCAGGCTATAGCAAAAGCCAAGGGAAATCTAACCAACAAAGGAGAAGAAAGTTATTTTACAGAGTAAAAAGGAGGAAGTTGGGAGGGGTTGTTTTGAAGGAAAGGAGGAAAGTGGGAGTTCAGAGAGATGATGGGTTCTCATAGGCCAGGTAGCTGGGGTAGTCCATTTCCTGTAGGAGATGCAAGTACATCTTTCCTGTTGAGTCCTGTAACTGACGATTCTTTCCTGATGATGATTCTTCCTGTTGGGGTCTCTAAGCAACTGTCCTTCCTGTTATTGACCTTGAGGGGTACTGTGTGAGAACTCCCCCTTCTGGCATCTCAATTCCATTTTAAAAGAAGTTTGTCTTTATTAATTTTCACAGAAGTAAGGTTAAGGAAAGGGAAAGAGAAGATTAGAGCAATGAAGCCAGTTATTGTGGCATGCAAAATTACTGCTGAGGAAAGGGAAGTCATTTTGATTTGTGTCACAGTGGCTTGTCATTCTCATTCCTGTCTCCACCAGAGCCACCCTGTCCGTATTGCATAATTTAGCCCTGAGTTGGGAGATGGCTCCCAAAACTAGCTTTGAGTTTCAAGTCCACCCAGAATGTCTGTCCTAGGACTCTCCCAGATATTCCAGGACAAGGTACTCACTGCTGCTTGAGGGCCTGGCACACGGGGTAAATGGCATCATCACTCCACTGGGAGACATCTTGATCTTGAACCATTCTTGGAGAAGGGAAATTTCCCCTTTACCCCTCTTGAATTCTTTTGGCTGGTCTAATAATTAAATTGACAGACTACATATTAACAGGAGTAAACAAAAAAATTAATTCATAAACATGGAGGTTTCAAAGAAATCAGACCTCCAAAGTGACCAAATAAGACTGTTTATATATCATTTTTAAACAAAGAAACATTTACTTGTGAAGATTTAAAAAAACAAAGGGGTGAGCACTTGGGGTAGCAGACTAATGAAGAAGTAACAAAATTTGTTTATGCAGACTTCTTGGTCCTGAATTCCTTGTCTCTGGGGATAAGGGTGTCCTTCTACCTCCAGATGCAGGGAGTGGCCCTTTCACATGAGAGATTTATTTCCTGCTTTCAGGGAGACAGAAAGGAGGGTCAAAGTGTGCCTCTTGCAGCAGCCATTTCTTAAGCAAATTTAATTCAAAATAGTCAATATGCCATTGAGGCATGTTTTGGGGTGGCCTGCCCTGGACCCCAACACCATAGTGGTGAAGACATAGATGAGCTGTGTACACTGGGGGTGTGAGGAAGATATGAGAAAGGCCCAGATTGCTGAGGTAAGACTACAAGCTAAAATTCCCCTCTCAAAGGCCTGGGAATGGAGTCAGAACAAATACAGGATAAAGTGGACCACCTTCCCTGAAGAGTTCTAATTTCTATGGAGTTGAAGACTGGTCCACTCTAAACTAACCCATTGTACTGCTATCTTAATTCCTTACCCTGACGAGGGTCATCGTGAGCCTCAGCACTCTCATTCCCATCTCTAGTTCATAGGAATGTGGATACGGGGGTGTAGGAGGTAGAGATGAGGAAGCTCTCTCTTTTTTTCTTCCTTCCTTCCTTCCTTCTTTCCTTTCTCTCTTTCTTTTTTGTAACAATTTTAAGTGTCTTATAGGAGGTGGAGATTCCAGCTCTCTCAGATTTTCAAATATGTAAGTTTGCCGATGGTGGAAACTCCTCTGTCAAAAGGAAAGACACTCATGATGCTTACCAAGCTGCAGCTGCAGCAACACAGCCAGACCTGTAAAAAGGCAATAAATACATGACTCAGCTCCGGGCTTCCCGGGGAAGCTACAGACCTGTTGCCCTGCTGGGTAACTAACAATGAACAGTCAGCTCCTGGTGAGTCCTGCACAGATCTTCTTCTTCACAACATGTGCCTAAGCCACCCTGGGGAGGAGGGGATCCTGGACCTGGGTTCCCCACCACCTAGTGAGTGGTGAGTGGAAAGAGCATGGGCTCTGAGCAGATACTGCTGTGCTTGAAGCCTGGCTCTTCTCCTTCCAGCTGCAGGATGCTGGATACCTTGTCACACGACTCCTAATATCAATTTGCTTACGGACAGAAATGCGGAGATTAAAACCCACTTCAAAATATATTGTGAGTATTAGATAACTGAAGTGACATTATCTAACATTACAGAAGTGACATTATAGTGAGGATCAAATAAATGTGTGTTTTTTTTTCTTAACATCTTTATTGGAGTATAATTGCTTTACAATGGTGTGATAGTTTTTGCTGTATAACAAAGTGAATCAGCTATACATATACATATATCACCATATCTCCTCCCTCTTGCCTCTCCCTCTCACTCTCCCTATCCCACCCCTCTAGGTGGTCACAAAGCACAGAGCAGATCTCACTGTGCTATGCATCTGCTTCCCACTAGCTATCGATTTTATAACTGGTAGTGTATATATGTCCATGTCACTCTCTCATTTCGTCCCACCTTACCCTTCCCCCTCCCCGTGTCCTCAAGTCCATTCTCTATGTCTGCGTCTTTATTCATGTCATGCCCCTAGGTTCTTCAGAACCATTTTTTTTTTTAGATTCCATATATATGTGTTAGCATATACAGTATTTGTTTTTCTCTCTGTGATTTACATCACTCTGTATGACAGGCTCTAGTTCCATCTACCTCACTACAAAAAACTCAATTTCGTATCCTTTTATGGCTGAGTAATATTCCATTGTATATATGTGCCATATCTTCTTTATCCATTCATCTGTCTATGGACACTTAGGTTGCTTCCATGTCCTGGCTAATGTAAATAGAGCTGCAATGAACATTGTGGTACATGACTCTTTTTGAATTATGGTTTTCTCAGGGTATATGGCCAGTAGTGGGATTGCTGGGTCATATGGTAGTTCTATTTTTAGTTTTCTAAGGAACCTCCATAATGTCCTCTACAGTGGCTGTATCAATGTACATTCCCACCAACAGTGCAAGAGGGTTCCCTTTTCTCCACACCCTCTCCAGCATTTATTGTTTCTAGATTTTTTGATGATGGCCACTCTGACCGGTAAGAGATATCACATTGTAGTGTTGATTTGCATTTCTCTAATGATTAATGATGTTGAGCATTCTTTCATGTGTTTGTTGGCAGTCTGTATATCTTCTTTGGAGAAATGTTTAGTTAGGTCTTCTGCCCATTTTTGGATTGGGTTGTATGTTTTTGTGATATTGAGCTGCATGAGCTGCTTGTAAACTTTGGAGATTAACCTTTTGTCAGTTGCTTCATTGGCAAATATTTTCTCCCACTCTGAGGGTTGTATTTTCATCTTGTTTATGGTTTCCTTTGCTGTGCAAAAGCTTTTAAGTTTCATTAGGTCCCATTTGTTTATTTTTGTTTTTATTTCCATTTCTCTAGGAGGTGGGTCAAAAAGGATCTTGCTGTGATTTTTGTCAAGGAGTGTTCTGCCTATGTTTTCCTCTAAGACTTTTATAGTGTCTGGCCTTACATTTAGGACTTTAATCCATTTTCAGTTTATTTTTGTGTATGGTGTTAGGGAATGTTCTAATTTCATTCTTTAACATGTAGCTGTTCACTTTTCCCAGCACCACTTATTGAAGAGGCTGTCTTTTCTCCACTGTATATTCTTGCCTCCTTTATCAAAGATAAGGTGACCATATGTGTGTGGGTTTATCTCTGGGCTTTCTATCCTGTTGCATTGATCTATATTTCTGTTTCTGGCCAGTACCATACTGTCTTGATTACTATAGCTTTGTAGTATAGTCTGAAGTCAGGGAGCCTGATTCCTCCAGCTCCATTTTTCTTTGTCAAGATTGCTTTGGCTATTCAGGGGCTTTTATGTTTCCTAGCAATTTGTGAAATTTTTTGTTCTAGTTCTATGAAAAATGCCATTGGTGGTTTGATAGGGATTGCATTGAATCTGTAGATTGCTTTGGGTAGTATAGTCATTTTCACAATGTTGATTCTTCCAATCCATGAACATGGTATATCTCTCCATCTTTTTGTATCATCTTTAATTACTTTCATCAGTGTGTTATAGTTTTCTGGATACAGGTCTTTTGTCTCCCTAGATAGGTTTATTCCTAGGTATTTTATCCTTTTTGTTGCAATGGTAAATGTGAGTGTTTCCTTAATTTCTCTTTCAGATTTTTCATCATTAGTGTATAGGAATACAAGTGATTTCTGTGCATTAATTTTGTATCCTGCAACTTTACCAAATTCATTGATTAGCTCTAGTAGTTTTCTGGTAGCATCTTTAGGATTCTCTATGTATAGTATCATGTCATCTGCAAACAGTGACAGTTTTACTTCTTCTTTTCCAATTTGGATTCCTTTTATTTCTTTTTCTTCTCTGATTGCTGTGGCTAAAACTTCCAAAACTATGTTGAATAATAGTGGTGAGAGTGGGCAACCTTGTCTTGTTCTTCATCTTAGTGGAAATGCTTTCAGTTTTTCACCATTGAGGACGATGTTGGCTGTGGGTTTGTCATATATGGCCTTTATTATGTCGAGGTAAGTTCCCTGTGTCTACTTTCTGGAGTGTTTTTATCATAAATAGGTGTTGAATTTTGTTGAAAGCATTTTCTTCATCTGTTGAGATGATCAATATGGTTTTTATCCTACAATTTGTTAATATGGTGTATCACATTGATTGATTTGCGTATATTGAAGAATCTTTGCATTCCTGGGATAAACCCCAATTGATCATGGTGTATGATCCTTTTAATGTGCTGTTGGATTCTATTTGCTAGTGTTTTGTTGAGGATAGTTTTGCATCTATGTTCATCAGTGATATTGGCTTCTAATTTTCTTTCTTTGTGACATCTTTGTCTGGTTTTGGTATCAGGGTGATGGTGGCCACATAGAATGAGTTTTGTAGTATTCCTCCCTCTGCTATATTTTGGAAGAGTTTGAGAAGGATAGGTGTTATCTCTTCTCTAAAATGTTTGATAGAAGTTGCCTATGAAGCCATCTGGTCCTAGGCTTTTGTTTGTTGGAAGATTTTTAATCACAGTTTCAATTTCAGTGCCTGTGATTGGTCTGTTTATATTTTCTATTTCTTCCTGGTTCAGTCTTGGAAGGTTGTGCTCTTCTAAGAATTTGTCCGTTTCTTCCAGGTTGTCCATTTTATTGGCATACAGTTGCTTGTATTAATCTCTCATGATCCTTTGTATTTCTGCAGTTTCAGTTGTTACTTCTCCTTTTTCATTTCTAATTCTATTGATTTGAGTCTTCTCCCTTTTTTCTTGATGAGTCTGGCTAATGGTTTATCAATTTTATCTTCTCAAAAAACCAGCTTCTAGTTTTATTGATCTTTGCTACTGTTTCCTTCATTTCTTTTGCATTTATTTCTCATCTGATCTTTATGATTCCTTTCCTTCTGCTAACTTTGGGGTTTTTTTCTTCTTCTTTCTCTAATTACTTTAGGTGTAAGGTTTGCTTGTTTATTTGAGATGCTTCTTCTTTCTTGAAGTAGGAAAATATTGCTATAAACTTCCCTCTTAGAGCTGCTTTTGCTGCATCCCATAGGTTTTGGGTCATTGTGTTTTCATTGTCATTTGTTTCTAGGTATTTTTTGATTTCCTCTTTGATTTCTTCAGTGATCTCTTGGTTATTAAGTAGTGTATTGTTTAGCCTCCATGTGTTTGTATTTTTTACAGATCTTTTTTCAGTAATTGATATCTAGTCTCATAGCATTGTGGTCAGAAAAGATACTTGATACAATTTCAATTATCTTAAATTTAACAAGGCTTGATTTGTGACCCAAGATATGATCTATCCTGGAGAATGTTCCATTAGCACTTGAGAAGAAAGTGTATTTTATTGTTTTTGGATGGAATGTCCTATAAATATCAATTAAGTCCATCTTGTTTAATGTATCATTTAAAGCTTGTGTTTCCTTATTTATTTTCATTTTGGATGATCTGTCCATTGGTGAAAGTGTGATGTTAAAGTCACCTACTATGATTGTGTTACTGTCAATTTCCCCTTTTATGGCTGTTAGCATTTGCCTTATGTATTGAGGTGCTCCTATGTTGGGTGCATAAATATTTACAATCGTTATATCTTCTTCTTGGATTGATCCCTTGAATATTATGTAGTTTCCTTCTTTGTCTCTTGTAATAGTCTTTATTTTAAAGTCTATTTTGTCTGATATGAGAATTGTTACTCCAGCTTTTTTTAATTTCCATTTGCATGAAATATCTTTTTCCATCCCCTCACTTTCAGTCTGTATGTGTCCCCAGGTCTGAAGCTGGTCTCTTGTAGACAGCATATATATGCATCTTGTTTTTGTATCCATTCAGCCACTCTAGGTCTTTTGGTTGGAGCATTTAATCCATTTACATTTAAGGCAATTATCATTATATATGTTCCTATTATCACTTTATTAATTGTTTTGGGTTTGTTATTGTAGGTGTTTTCCTTCTCTTGTGTTTCCTGCCTAGGGAAGTTCCTTTAGCATTGGTTGTAAAGCTGGTTTGGTGGTGCTGTATTCCCTTAGCTTTTGCTTTTCTGTAAAGGTTTTAATTTCTCCATTGAATCTGAATGAGATCCTTGCTGGGTAGAGTAATCTTGGTTGTAAGTTTTTCCTTTTCATCGCTTTAAATATGTCCTGCTACTCCTTTCTGGCTTGTAGAATTTCTGCTGAAAGATCAGCTGTTAACCTTATGGGGATTCCCTTGTATGTTACTTGTTGTTTTTCCCTTGCTGCTTTTAATATTTTTTGTTTTTATTTAATTTTTTTTTTTTTTTTTTTTTTTTTTTGCAGTACACGGGCTTCTCACTGTTGTGGCCTCTCCTGTTGTGGAGCGCAGGCTCAGCGGTCATGGCTCACGGGACAGCCACTCCACGACATGTGGGATCTTCCCGGAGTGGGGCACGAACCCATGTCCCCTGCATCGGTAGGCAGAATCTCAACCACTGCGCCACCAGGGAATCCCTGTTTTTATTTAATTTTTGATAGTTTGATTAATATGTGTGTTGGTGTGTTTCTCCTTGGATTTATCCTGTATGGGACTCTCTGTTCTTCCTGGACTTGATTGACTATTTCCTTTCCCATATTAGGGAAGTTTTCAACTATAATCTCTTCAAATATTTTCTCAGTCCCTTTATTTTTCTCTTCTTCTGGGACCCCTATAATTCAAATGTTGGTGAGTTTAATGTTTTCTCAGAGGTCTCTGAGACAGTCGTAAATTCTTTTCATTGTTTTTTCTTTATTCTTCTCTGTGGTAGTTATTTCCACTATTTTATCTTCCAGGTCACTTATGCATTCTTCTGCCTCAGTTA